TGGTAAGTACATTTTAATCAGTTAATTAAGTTCCAGTGGAGTATTTTGTACGTCAGTAAGGACATTTGTCTATGCTTCCAAGTTATGATAACTGGAAATTGCAAAACCCAATTATAAAGATAAAGCACTTTAAGGAAAACATTTCTATTTTGATCGTAAATTATTTGCACAGGAAACTACAATAATATTAAGAGCTATTTTTGTGCAATATCCTTACATATAATGGTTTTTTACCAATTCTGGCAGAATGTCTGTCAAATATGAACCTTTTCAAAAGTCAAATTCGCTCACAAGCTCTATTTAGCTTACTATACAAAGCATAGCTTATTAGACGGAAAAATGAGAGGACTGAGGCTACAGTTCTTTTAATACGATTATCGTCCCACGCTTGTGAAGAATTTTCCACATCCTTCGGCGTAGTTGTCATTGATTTCGGAGTGAAGGAATACGATTACCTGCGATGCATTGAACCAGTATGAGGACTCTTGCGCCAGTATTGCGCTCAAATATCAGGTTTTTTCTATTTCCAAGTTCTTGCCTTCAGAAAGCTGGGAATGGCAGCAAACTTCAACAAAATACTTTGATCAACTTCAATTAACTCTGATTAATTAAGCAATAAAGGAGATAAAGAAAGTGACTGAATGACAAAAGTGGTTTTACGTTCTTATTCAAGATCCGCTTTCTAGGGTGTGAATAAATATTGTACTTGGCTATGGTAAAAGTCGTCTTTCATTTCGCGCTAATGTTAATGATGTCAAAGAAAAACACATCTGAATTCATTTACCAGAATACCGCACTTTGCGGCCTTACTCATATATGTGATAGCTGATAGCTGACAGGTTATCAGCCATAATTAGAAGTTTATGGCCTTTATTCTTCTTGTTTACAGGCAGCATTCTGTGTCATATTCCTGATATTACTTGTTCAAGGAGAGAATGAAAACGAAGTTAGTGAGACAGACACGGAACTGCAAGGTGCTTGATAATTTAAGTTCAAGTCTTAAAACAGTGTAATCGTCATCTCTCGCGTGCGTGCGTTGGAGCTAGTTTTCATGGCCAAACGTAGCGAAACAAACCATCGAAAATAAATTTGGAAGGCAAAAAAATTCATTTTATAACTCAAGAAACGAAACCAATTACTTCTTAAACTGAACTGTTCATCTAATTAGTATTGGAGATAAGAACAATGAATGCCTGTTTTTTCCCGCTTCACCAACCCACAGTACAAATTTTTGTGGGAAAAAAAACGATTCTTTTTATTTTCCAGGCCATAGTCTCAGAGAGAAGAGGAGCTTCGGGTCGTGGGGAAGGAGGAGCCGCCGTCATTACCGCCCCTCTTACCGCCGCCGTTACCATTACCGTTATGGTTACTGCGCACGCTATTGGGGTAAGTAGCTTATTCTGTTTTTATCAAAATAAATTAGCTAAAAAATTTCTTTTAAAGTTAACGCGTTATGCACTCTGATGGTAATTGGCGATGTAACCTCGTGCCCAGTTCCTGCCGTTTAAGTAACTGAAATGCTGGGACCGGCCCTCCCAACGCTTGGCCTTAGAAGGTCTGGGTATGAGACTATTGCCGGTGATCAATCAGAGAACAGACGCAAGAGAGAGGTCATGGAAAAGCTCGTTTTTTTTTTTTTATTATTTCGTTCAGCGTTACGCACATTTTTAAAAATATTTGCAATATCTTTTCAAATGTAAGAGCTGAAGGATCTGTTTCCGAAGGAAGAAAAAGTGGGCGGGTTCCTAGCCACAAGAAAAGTACGTTGTCAGGCACATACAAAATCTCAGAGAGTCAGCGACCAAGGGAATTTTTATTTTCTTGTTTAATATCAAGTATAAATTGGCCGTTTGTCTCAAATTAAAGAATAGTAGTCACCAATCGTGGTACACGTAATAAAACAATAGAGATTATGTTCGAGCTGCTGGGCAAGGGTTAAAATGACTCTGAGAAGGGCCAAAAACATATTTAAGCCCACGAACGTATACTGCACTAATATATAGACTTAGCCAAGCCTAAAAGCGGAGCTCGCACGTCTCAAGGGCACAACGCCTTGCCAAGGCCAGGACTAGAACCCGGGTCATCCGACTCGGAGCCCAGTGCACTGACCACTGGACTACTGAACAAAGCCTGGGGTTGGCGTGCCCGCGGTACAGTTGACCACGCATGTTAAAAGTAGCACCTTGTACGGTCGTACGGTCGTACATCCAAATTTTTTCGGCTTAATGGGTTACTACTATTTTATATAATTATGGGGCAACGCTCTGCTAGCTCCGCTATTACTAATATCATCAGTAAAATAGCAACAGAAAAAATGAAAACAAAACAGTCTGAAAAATCACGATAGTGTGCAAGCTTTTAGCTCACCAAAATTTTCATTTTAGCCCACAAAATTCGCCATAATGCACATAATGCAACTGACCAAAGAATGGTCAAAACATAAGATTACTTTTTTAAAGCAACTAACTGTGTTTTTCTTAAACAGGAAAAAGGAAGTATTACATACTCAAATCTGTACTGAAAGAAGTAGACTGCTTGAATAATACAAATTGCCAAGAAAGTCAAGTCAAAATCTTCGGTAAGTATCTCGTGAAGTTACTAACCCTGATTAGAGCTAACCAACAACAAAATGCTGATTCTCTCCTTAACTACACTGAGACATTTGTAAACCAATTACTCTGCTCTTGATAGGGGAGCGTTTAGTTATGTTTTTTTTTTTGTTTACCCTCTCAATAATTCAAGTATAACGGTTAGTACTTTGTTCAAAACATGGACGCACTGTTAACAGAGTTGTACCATTTGTCATATCAATAACAGGAGAGATTTTTAAGCCACCCACTCCTGCCCCACCCATGAGTCCTATTCCGTCGCCTTCCTCCAGTCCGGTGATGACCGTATCACCTTCAAGTTCACAAACTGTATCGTCGATGCCGGCCGTATCACCTTCAAGTTCACAAGTTGTATCTTCGAT